GCTCCAAATTACCTGGAATTTCAACAAATCGAAAAATACTGGGCAATTTCAAAGCAGCGACTTCGACGAAGCGGCGGGGCAGTCAATCCAAGTAGCAATTGGGGTTTTATGAGGGCTCTGCAGACTATGATTTAGACTTGTAGCATGCTTTAAAACCGTGATAAAACTTGCAATGTTGCTTGGGGCAAATGCAGGCAAAATGGAAGAAATGCGCTGATTCCGTGTCCGTTTCCACTGTGCGGGCGCTGATGGGCTCTATCAAGAGGAAGGTTCGAGATTTCGTTCGAACTGGAGAAATAAAATTATCTAATGCTTTGAAGTTTTAATAAAAGTACTGCAAAGCAACCATTAATGGACTTTTTAAACTTATTGAATCAAGAATTACAGGTACTTTTGTGCGTACCAATTTACTTTTAGTCAGCCTTTAGGCATTTGATTTATTGGAAATTAACAATGTTAAAAAGTTCAATGTTTCAATTAATCAGCCATCAAATGTTTTAAGTTAAATGTTAGCTGAGGTATCAGAATCTTATTTTTTTGGATTGATATCTTTCTCAGGATTGCTTTGGGATTTGTTAAATAATTTCTTTAAAATAATCGAAAAAATCCATCGTGGGACTCCGACTCTCTATGACGACGAGTGAAAATGAAAGTGAAAGTGATTAGTGAATGTGAAACAATAGTAGTAGAATTAAACGGAAAATCATCGTCTACTAAAACGCTCATCAATCAATCTAAATAAATGATAAAGCCTCAGAATCGACGACATTTCTGAAGCTTTGAAAACATATTGGGTGTCGAGCTTAAGCCATGCGTACCCAAAGCATTTTCACCTAAAACATAGATCATCTAAACCGGTCAATAAATGACGTCCATTTCACCCTTTCTTGTCCGATTTAGATGAAACAACTTCCAATCGCTCAGAAATTGGGTTTGATATTATAACAGTTGAGCATAACTCTTGTGAAGGTTTGAAAAAAAATGCGTCGGCCGAAACCATTTTTTAATGGTTAAGGATCACTTCCAATTGACTTACACGATGAACTGACTGATTTATAATTATTATTTTTTTACCCTGAATTGTGGGATGACTGTACAAGATAGGGAAAGTGGATGTAATGTCGGCCTAAATGCCCCTAATTTGAGCCCATACATAAATTTAGCAATCGACTAAATTTTCAATAGCGACCAACAATATCCATTAGTACCGTCCCAATGACGTGTTCATCTATATAAAATTGATAAACAACTGATTTTTACCGGGCCCAATCTTAGATCCATAGGCCAACATTAGAGCCGTTTCCCCTATATAATAAATAAACACATAAAAATTGATGGATCGTTTTTGAAAATATCAAGCGATGTACCTATTTAGTTGAATTATACCTTCTACTTTAAAAAATGCTTCCATTAGTTTTGCTAATATTAAAGAAAATTTTCACACACACAACTTCGAAAATTTGTATTTTGTCCTGTTTAAAAAAAATGTGATCATTGGAGACTCTGTTTTTGCTGAATATTAACAACCGGGAAATTTTTGTGATTTGAACGAGGAAAATGTGGATTTCAAAATGAAAACTCACTGTGTTTACTATACCATCTGCTATTGTTCGTTACCTGCTGGCAGTGTTGCCAGATTTTTTAGAGGTCTATTCTGTAGATGTTAAAGCATTTGAAGGTGTTGAGTGCTGGATGGGATTTTGGCACTTGAAAAGTGAAGTTCGCTTTCTAAAGATTTTATCTGTTCAAAAGATCTCGAAATTCTAGAATCTTGATTTTCTAAGTGATTTGTTTCTTTTCTTCAAGTCTAAAAAATACAAAAAAAAATCAAGTCCCAGTACCGAGAGACAACCATGCTTCCAGCTGATTTTTTTTTTTACTGAAGTAACAATCACATTTCCCTAGAATTTGATTTTCTATGTCGGAGATTACCAAGATCTTAATCTGATTTGTTTTTCAAATCCGTGATTCTTCATTAAATTTTAATGTTTGATCTTTCATATTCTCAAATTCTTCTAATCAACCTAGATTTCAACTTTATTTAGGCATTTGACAGATTAAAAGGAATTCGCTTGTTGTTGCTTGAACCTATATACCTAAGTGTACTCAGTACATATTTGTTGTCAGTAAATACCTGCAAAATACTTCGGGATAGTTCCATCTGTCTTTCTCTGTTTTATCAATTGTCTTACATTTTGTCACAACATAAAACTTTGATTTTAGTCTGCTGTGGCTCAGTCAAATTAACTTTACAGAGCCGAGGATTCTTGTTCTTTATACAAAACATCGTTAAACTATAGTCAAAAGATACAACACCATAAACACTTTATCTTCGCTATCCAATAATCCATCAGAACTGCTTCCAGTAGTTTCATTGTATGACAGTTACGCCAACGGGGGTCAGAGCGGTTCCATTGCAGCAATTGGACGCAAAACGTGGTCAGCACTCACACACTCATCACTAAACGGTTGCTTTCCAAAATCGACGACTCATCGACCGAAAGAACTGCTGATGAAGAACAATGAGGAGGACCACACAATGGTTGCTGCCGAGTGAACAGACGATCGCGTGAAACACATTGAGAGTGGCTTGCTTCTGTCGACAGCCGAGTGAATACTGAATTGCATACATTGCTACTTGTCAAAATATTCAGCTGTTGTGGGTTACTAAAACGGCTTGTTAACCGATTCGACAAATTGAATTAACCATTTTTATTGTTTAATAATATAATAATATCCCTTCGAACGAGAGATCACCGCCACCTTGAATTCAAAAATGGCGTACAGCTTATTTGTTCTACCTCTATATGTCGTCTCCCTTCGGAAATCCCCATATTTTATAAGAATTTGACAGTATTTCTTAAACCAACGGTCACTATCTTGGATTCCAAAATGGCGTCCAACATCGATTTTCAACCTCTACACATCGTCCCCGTTCTGGAAATATCCATCTTGCATACCAAAATGGCGTTCAACATCGATGTTTGGCCTCTACACGTCACACCTGTTATGAAAATTCACACATTGCTATATGGCATTCCTTCCAGACATAGCATATTCAGGAAGTTCACATGCACACTAGCGACACGTATTGAGAAAATTCTGAATTAGTATGACCACCATCCGAAAGGACTTTAGGTCACCTGAACAACTTTGCTCAAGACGGCCACTTTACATATGGCCAGGATCATGAGATATATAGCGCCCATCATAAGTAATATGAAAGTGGAGCGCCTCCAGCGAAGTAGCTCCCTTAAACCTGCTACCTTCGCATGAATTTTTTGCTGCATTATGAATTAAAAAACATTTTTTCGCGATTTTCCGGAGCGTCTGTAGTGAATCAAATTCTATATGGACATAATTCATTTGCATATGGGCGGAAATATGAACACAAACATATCTGCGGCTCCTTTTCTCGCGCACAACTATTTCTGCAATTAAAAAATGATTTGGCTTTTTCGTTGAATTTGACATGAAAAAAATTGATCGAAAGTTCTTGTTCTACGATTTCTGTAAATTTCTAAGTGTCCATAATTTTAAACATTTAAAAAATTTGTATTTTTCATGAGCTTATTATTTATTAATAAATCGAAAATTGGACAAGAATATTTAGAGATACTTAGGGCTTTATTTATTTTATCTTTACTTGAAATTCCGTAAAACATTTTTTTTTGTATATGTTCCCCAGAAAAATATTATTTTTCTCAACAACTTTGTCTCAGATATCATTTTGATCAGAAAAGCAGTTTCTGTGCTGCATTTTTTTGAAAAATTTCAAAGACTTTATTTTGAAAATTTTGCAAGATCCAAAATGACCTAATTTTATCAAAAATGTGAATCATTGCCCATAACAAACAATTATAAAACGTTTCATCGGAGAAGGTCATTTTTTTTCGATTTCGTCATTTGGCGTGGAACTCTTTTGAAGTAGTGCAAACGGAGATGCAGAGAATGTAATCGATGAACTTTTGAGTTTCCACCCTGTTAAGCCTAAACAATACTGAATTAGGGAATCTGAAGGAAATACGGGGCACTTAGTAGAAGTTCTACAAAGGATCAGAAAGGTTCAAAGAACGTCCATAAATACAGATGCTCAGACCGGACTAACTATCGTATCAAACCAATTAACCACTTCATTCGAGCAGATAAAATGATGTTTACTACCACTTGAACTTTGAAATGAAATATTATTCTAAGATTTTTTCTTCTAGAACCTCGAGAAAAGTAGCCAACATTTGTGCGTTTCACAAAAAAATTGAAATTAGTTGGTCCAGTTTTGTGAAATCGCTGGTAGAAAGTCACACTAAAACTGCTTGACAAAGTGGTCAATTAACTCATCAATTAGAATCTAGTATGTTCACTCCTATTTAAACCACTATGAAGAAAAGTTCGTTCTACTGCCTATTCTAATATTTTTCAACATGGAAAATCCGGAAATGCTATAGTTGTGGACCACCCCATTCAAAGGATGCAAAATACAGAACAGCCCAGCATCAGCGCAGTGAGGGGAAAAATACATGCTGAATCGTAGGCACAAGCCTACTGTTGGGTTGGCTGCTCAGAGGAAGACAAGCAACGCTACACGTTGAAAAGATGTTCTCCTCAACCACCATCGCCGCCGTTGACGACTAGTGACAGCGACGCAAGAAAACGGAAACAGCAAGAGCAGCATAATTGAGCAATCTTGAGTGGGAAATTTACATAACAATAACCATTCCCCGTGCCTTTTTACGGACTTGCCGATTGTTTTTAATAATTAAAAACATTCCTGGGAATGCTTACGGTCCGGAGAACAGTACCGGGAAGTTTTTCCGTCATCAAGACTTCAAGACGCAAAAAGTAAAAGCCGGGATAAACTGGATCGTGCTTGTAGGAGAGGTCAAAATTAAGATTTTTACTAAGCGCCTACTGCATTGAGAAGCGCCAGAATTATTTGTCAGAATAATGCGACAATCGTTTCTGTTTTCCTTTTCACGTTTCAGACAGGACTGCACAGTAATATGGTTACCAACAACGACACCAGCATCCAAACCGAGCATCAACAGTCAGTAACAGCAGCAGCAGCCGGACCAGCGATGGATGTGGACTGTAACACTAGCAGTACATCCGCAGCCCAAGTCCCCGAGGCGTCATCATCAGGTGTGGTAGGGACAAACGACGGCAGCAAAAAACCAAAACTGGAAGGATTTCAGTTTTACGAGAAAACTCTGGGCTCACCGAAATATGTGGTAAGTTCTGTTACTCTGTAATAAACGTCGAGTGATTTTTATTGACTTTCCCTTGCTTAGGTTTTGTGTGTTCTGTATGCTACAATAGACTTGTTCACCGGTAACAGTTTCTCCTGAAATGTGGAAATTTATGCGTTGCCGGCTCACAGGTCTAGTTTCCAAGTTTCCCCGTAACTTTCACTAGTAATAAATTCACTGTGGCAAACATTTACCCACCCTCTGACAGGCCATCGTAATTACTGTTTTCATTGCTCACCCACATTTGTCTCACGATAACTGCATCCATCCCCACAGGTGGCCCCCATGGTGGATGCCAGCGAACTGGCGTGGCGTTTACTGAGCCGCCGACACGGTGCCCAACTGTGCTACTCGCCGATGTTCCACAGCAGCTGCTTCAGCAAGGACCCCAAGTATCGTAAGGATTCGCTGCAATCGTGCCCCGAGGATCGACCACTCATCATACAGGTAAGCGCACCGGAACACGTAGGGTTTCCCTCGATTGACCAGCCGCAGCGGGAATTGTGAGCACAACACACACGTGCTGTGCGACAATTACACTTTGGTACAAAGTAAAACAGACCGTCCACAACGAATGCTTGTTATGCTCAATATTGATCAAAACGAATTGGTCCCCCTTCTATGGCGAATAGCACCGTTCGAGCGTAGCCAGATTTCGACTAATAACGGTCCTGTTTTACTACCCTCTCATCTCAGCCACAACAGCTCTGTCACATTTATTACAACTAACAGTCCCTTCCCATTCCTGCAGTTTTGCGGCAACGATCCGAAGGTACTGCTGGACGCTGCCCTGCTTGCTCAGGACCACTGCGACGCTATCGATATCAATCTGGGCTGTCCACAGGCGATTGCCAAGCGTGGCCATTACGGTGCCTTCCTACAGGACGAATGGGACCTACTTAAGGAAATCGGTAAGCGTGAAATTCGATTTTACCCACACCCACCCCAGCTTTCGGTACAGGATTATTTGTCGTCGTCGAGTCGCCGTAAATAGAATTGAGTTGTTTATGTTTGCAACGTGTGTGTGTCCCCTCTTGTGGCACGTTTCTCCAGTCGAACTGAGAGGGAATTTCGAATGTTTCCGCCCATTGCTTCATCAGGGGAAATTCTTCGACAATTATGAGACAGGAAATAGCTATGCGGGGTCAACTTTTATGGTTAAGTAATTTTCCCTTCCACTCCGTTTTGATATTTCTATTTATTAATACGCGAGTAATTAACATTTATACTTTGACCTCGGGAGTCTTTTAATAGCACTCCCATTACAAGTGCCTAATCAAATAATGCTTTCCTGATTGAATAATTTTTCCATCATCCATCATCACTAAAAATCGCCACAGAACGTCAATAAAGGCCTTTGGTCGTCGTCACACCTGTTCCGTAATAAACCGCAAAAACCCAGCTGCAGGGTTTTATGCCGGAAGCCAACCCATCAATCTGGCTGGGGATGGTGGTTCGGTAAATGGTTCTTGTCATACAACTTTATTGGACATCCTTGTTATTTATCATGGATAAACTTCCTCCCGCTCGGTCAATGCTAATGCACTGCCACGCGAGCCACCAGCACCGGGTTGGTGCTGAAGGACGTCTTCCTGTTTTGCGCTACACATAATTTTCTTCTTCTTTTCGACCATGGCGCCAACAGCGCATTAATCCTTCATCCTTCATCAGATCTTCCTGCTGTTTACGGTACAAGGCGATCAACAAGTTAAAAGACGTTAGCAGGGTTCTATCCTATCCCATGAGCGGATCAGAAACCATAGCAGGCATTCCATCAGGCACGTATGTGTATGTGTAAAGAATGTACACACCAAAAATTGGGGGGGAGGTAGCTCATCGATTCTTCCGGTTCGCCTCCTAGCATCGTGCTATAAGGTACCAGGCGATAACCAGGGTAGTTGATCGATAGCTCGATGACATCATTTCGTTGGCGTCTGCAATGGGAAATTCTCATAGCAGGCGTTGACGATGGGACGTTGCGAGTTGTTGAATAGCAACTATCGTGGTAACTCACCGATTACCTGTCGATCTGCCAAATTTGGAAAGACGTCTGCATTGAATTGTCTCATATAATAATATTCCGCCCACTATATCACAAGAAATTGCGAGTAGCTGAGTGGAATGGAGATAAGTTAAGCATTGGGTACAGGACCAAGTCTCCCCTGGGTGGTGCCAAAAGATGAGCGCAATAGAATCATCAAGTTGCCATAAGGCACGGAATGAGACTATTGCATGGCTGCGTAGTCAAAGTCTTCCATTCGTTAGTCATTTCAGGTGGATTAGAACAGGTTTGGATTTTTCAGATATAAGATACATTCATACCATTGGCATTTGGTATTTGAGATAAAGACAGAGACAGGATGCGGAGGGCCCGCTTAGGGGGAGCGTAACCCATGTTATGGCTTCCATTTATTAAATAGTTCAGATAGGCTGGAAATGATAGGTTCATGGTGAGAAAATGTACCATATGGTGCCCGTTCACTGATCATTGCAACGTTGATGATTTCCTATAGTGACACATATCACCTTCTTAATGCTTCAGTATGCCTCAAACGATTAATTCTTAGTTGTTAATAGAACTTCCTTGATGAAATCGGCTGCTTCATGCAGACTGAGCAATTCTGATTATAGTGTCAGATTTGTTCTGTATACAGAGGAACTGGGAGGGCTTATTAGAAACTTATCACCAATAAAATAATGATCTTCTAGTAAATTTTGCATTTAATTTTATTAATATTTTATTTTATTTAAGCATATTATTTTTGTTACAGTCAATTTGCATTAGCATACAAGAGATTTAATATTACTTGCTCGTTTTCGCGTAAAATAATCAATATTTATCTTACTTGTAATTACCTTTGAAAGTTTTTTTTAAGTTTTTTTTTTTTTTGTGATCTGAAAATTTACCCAGTTTGGTTAGAAGTTTCGAAGCTAACGCATGTCCACAGGCCTAATAGAAAGATAGGCAGAACAAGTGTATCATTAAGAATGGTTGCATGCAGGGTTGCTTCCACTCACTTGCTATAGATGGGTGATTTTCGGAGTTTTGAATTCGTTAGATGTTGTAATGGAGATTTGTGCTGTTGGATGCGGGTGGAGATTGGAGGGCGGGTGTTTGATGCATAGAGCCTGTCAATTTCGCTTTCAGAGTGTCGCAGTCAGCGGTTTTATGATTCGTTAGCGCTCGCGATTCGTAGAATCGTTGATTGTGACTGCAAGTGGATTTGAAGGGTTTTGTGTTTCGGACGCTTGTTTTTGGCCTTTTCTTGTGTCTAACATGTGCAGAGTATCATTATAACGTCTACTGGTTTTGAGATTCCTGGTGGCGTGAAATATATTTGTGAGAATATCTTTTTGAGATTTTAACAGTCACGTTTTGTTTGTAGTTTATATTTTATTTATTCATGTAATTATCGTAAATAATAGTTATTCAATAATAGATAGTTCATCCATATATTCGTACTTTGACGCGAAGCGCTGTGGATTATGAGATGCTCGATGACCCTGGAGGGATCGATTTTGCTTACTGAGCAGAAAATCATAGATTTAACCCCAAGCTCTTCAACAGCACAATAAATCGCCACCATCATGTGTATATTTGATATTAAACATTAACCTTGGAAACTATTTGCATATCAAGCGAAAACGTAGTCCTGTATTGTCGCGAAGCGTTATGGTTCTGAGATGCTCGATGACCCTGGAGGGATCGTTTTTGCTTACTGAGCAGAAAATTATGGGTTTAATCCCAAGCTCTCCGTCATGACTCTTAAAATTCATTATCACTAAACAAAATTAATATGTTCTTTCGATAGCCGGCTATCGAGAGATTAAATAAACAACAAATAAACAATACATACTTTTGGTTGCATCGCCAACTTGAGGTGAATCCTAACCGAATACCCTACCCAACCCTCCAACTCCGTAGCACTTATGAGGGTGTCGCTAAGTCGGTGGCCTCTCGTTAAGTAAGTACTACATCAACATTTCCTTCCTTATCCCTAGTTATGGTAAAGATGGGCGTGGCCGGGAATAGCGACAGTCATGCTTCTGTTACTCTTGTTTAGATTGGAACCAATGTTTACTCCTCAGCATTATTCCTGAAAGTAGTCTAACTGAGAATTTCAGAAGATACGTGAGTGTCGCTAGTATCCAATCTACGAAGTATATCATAACAACGCTAACGCTAACGCTAACGCTAGAATGTACACACCAAAAATTGGTCAAAACTAGGGTTGGTATCCTCCATTGTTCGCAAAAATTGCTCATTTGTTAAGATCTCCGCACTCACTTGACGAAACATGGTTTTTCTTGAAGCACCTAATAGAAAAAGGGTTTCAGCTTTCCATTATAGGTACGTAAAACCAGTGTTGTGAAAATATCAAAAGATCTAACAAAACTCCCCGGCTACAATTCTCACCAAACTGTGTTGAGTTTGAGCTTCAACATTTTTACTGTACATCCGAACACGAAACGAAACTTCCATCACTGCTGGCAGCAGTAACTTTGTGTCTGCCATCTGTGAAGCGTAAAGAAAGATAGCCAACTATGCTTTCTCTTTCTAAGAAAACGATGTGCAAAGGAATCATTTTTGTGGTAAGTCAACTCGTGGCTGCAATTTTACATGTTCTGAATAGTCTCGCAATATCAAAGGAGCTTGTAAAAACAATATCATGCTTGATATATTATTGCAATATCATGCGTGATATTGGGAGCCCTTGAGAGCGAAACAAAATCATTTGAGTGAGGATTATGCCATCACTGCGTAAAACACAGTATATTTTGACTAGGGGAAATGACGGCTTTGGCATGACAGACTATTTTCGGCAACACAAATTGAAACACTATTTTCACTGGATTTTCTTACGAAAACACTTCGCTGAATGCATGTAAACGATTCTTTATGCTTTCAGCTTCAATTTGACTATATTTTTACCACTTAGAAAAAGCAATCTAGCAAGGTTTTCTTGAAATGCAACACCCGCACTACAAATTGTAGCTGATTTCGAGTTGCCGATAATAGAACAGCAGATTTACACGCAGTTCAAATGGAACGGTTGCCGAAGAAAAACTGGTTGCCGACAATACTCGCTCTCACTAGAGAAGATTGGAGCTTTGTAAAAGCGTTTCAAAACAGTTTTTGACAATTCTTTCGACTGAAATTTTTAGAGCAGCTGGCAGCAAAAGATTGTAAACAAACCAATACTGCATATATGTGCGTTCCTTAGAGAAAAAGGCTATAGAAAGATGGCCGCTGCTTAGGTTGCCGAGAATACGTAAATTCCCCTATATGTTTTAGTATTACTTCTGCGTGAAGTCAACGATTTACATAGTTGAAGATGCTAATTTCAAATAACAGACTGTAGTGGTAATTTTTATACGATAGATGGAGTAGATGAAAGCATAGAGTTGATAGTTCCGTTAGAGTACGGCCGTGTGAAAATTGCATATAGATATTAGAATAGCGAGCTAGGACAACTTTTAAGGAAGGTACAAATCGGTTTTTTCATCTCTCTTTACCAAACTCCCCCTTTGGAGAGGGATGGTGAGGGGTGTCCCCCCCCCCTGGCCAGTGGTGGCGGGGGGGGACAACTACAGTATATTTATTTTTAGTTGAAAAGCTGTTCTCATTTGTTCGTCACAAAAAGGAAAAGAAAAATAATCGCTTCTTATTTCGGAGTCTCATTGGTATGAAATCAAATAAGGTGATTTAAATATTCTATGCATGTTTCCAGTGAACTCTTATCCTACTCTATCAATTGTTTAGAGTAAAAACAAGTTTCATCAACTGAAAGAAAAGTTATTAACAAAAGAGCAATTTCTGTTTAAAAAATTAAGAGGTTGTATCCAAGACACGACCATAGATTTGACGTAGGATTACGGGCTAGGTATAAATTTTCGGCGACTGTGTTAG